AAACTTGTGGACACTGATGCAGCGACGCCACTGAAGACTTTGCAGGAGGTCACACAGACAGAGTCTCGAGTGATAGTTTAGACAGTCAACCTGTTCACGCTTTTTGCTCACCATCTTAGTTTCCACACTGGTGATTAGATGTTCAATGTTCACTCCCGGGTAGATTTCTTTCTGCCACAGAGCGCACGTGGCAATGGGTGCGAATGCCATAACACGTTGAGGCCAGGGAGGGTCTCAGAGCTTGGTGCAAATGGCAACGCGTTCCACATCAGCCACTGAGCACTGGTTGCTATTGGTCGCCAGTTTTTGTCAGTATGTGGCACCTGCTTGCTCACTGCAGGCTTGGCAGTCCGGACCAGGTGCATCATCTTCTTTCTTTCCTGACTTGTTCCAGGCCAGATCAGTGAGCAAAGGTCAAGCTTGTGTGTGGAGGCCCAGTCAAGTGCTAGTCAGCTAGTCAATGCAGAAGGCATATTTGGTTTGTTAGATTCAAGCACGCGAAAGGATCTAGTGACCGTTCATGCCGAGCCAACCTGTGAGGCAGTCTTCACTCCAGGATGTCTGGGAGCTACTTCATAGATGAGGCTGGACTCACACCGCCTTTCCAGTTTGTGGTTGTCAGACAATTCATTTTCCCACAGCTGGTAGCCTTTCTTGGGATGTTGAGACTGTTGAAACTTGAGCGTCGTTTTGGATGTCATTGCGTTGAAGCCGGTTGGCGAGGCCACCCTGTGCGTGCTGGCCTTTCACTTGCAGGAGGCCCGAGCGCCAACCTGTCCAACTTCGAACGTGGTTTAAAGTCAGGTTCACATATTGGCTGTTTGCAAACCTTTTCTGTTTGATGTGTGGCCAGTCAGTCTGTAACATAGTAATTTTCGCATATACGTGTGCAATGCAGACTCATGTTGTGGGTCAAGTCAATGTCAAGTGTGTGATGGGCGATTCGAGTGATGTTGAATTGCCCTCTGACGATGGGGGGCTGCCTCCTGCGTGCCTGATGGGCCTTCGCGTTTCCTTTTTGGACTTCAGGGAGAGCTTTATTTCTGAGGTATCGTATTTATTTTTTTGTTTCTTTGTGTGTTTGCAGTTCTAGTTCACCAGTCTTGGCGCTACTGCGCCAAGTGCATGAATCAAGGCTTTGCAGGAAGATGATGGCAGCAGTGACCCTTCACTGCCCGCAGATGTCGAAGACTGTGTGGATGAGGCAGCCGGCGACAGCTCCGCGGGCATAGAGCTTCCTCCGGATGTCGAGCATGAGGTTCCAATGTTACTTAGATTTGCAATGGCACTTTTCAACCTAGTGTCAGATCTTGGAGTGTATGGGGGCTGATAGCTGTGTGTGGGAGTTTTGCAACATGCCATCAGCAACTTGGGTCAACTGATTTTGTAAAGGGCTTTCACATGACCTGTTCAGGGGGCCAAGATGTTGCAAGAGGAATTGTTGCACAAACTTCACAGACAGTGCAGAGTTGATGGTCCGACAGAAGGAATGGCGAGAGCATATGGCAAAGAAATCGAACTCGGAGCGTGAGCTGTTCATTTTCAATTTGATCAGACGCATGCAAGCAGCCCAGGAGATCCCCAAACAATAGCTTTTTCGTGAATCACCACCCTATAGTCTACTGATCTATTGATAGTAGGGCTGAACCCACAAATCGTCCCTCGGCAATCCTTGGCATTGCTCCCTGAGGATGGTGTGATTCGCAGACGTGGTCAAGGTCCAGGGTGGAAGTTCTTGGGTCAGCCAGTCTGCTTTGAGGGTTTCTGTCATTTGACAGGTGTGAGCCGACGGCAGTGTTCCAAATTCCTCAAGGCTATACGTGAAGGTGCCCTAGAGCCTCCAGCTGATGGGAGATCCCTTCGAGTTTCAAGGGATGAGCCCAAGAGAGACCATGCCCGTAGCTTCTTTCAGTACTTGTACGACCACCTAGCCGAACCACTTGCTGAGGGTTTGGATCCAGAGCTAGTGGAGGATGTTGGGGACGATGAATTTCAGGACGAGTTCACGGAGTGGATCGACCCAAACCCCAGAGCAGCGCCAGCTGAAAGCAACCAGAACCCTGTTGGGGCTGCGGCAGTGCGGCCAGTGATGAAAGAGCAGAAGATCTTTAGTGGAAATTGAGTATCACGTTTTGAAGGCAGTTCTTATTTTTCCGTTTTGAAGTTTTCATCTGGTTCAGAGCCAGTTCGTCGTTCCATTCCGAACTATCCATGGATAGACTGACCGCTGGCAGGTGGTTGCACCACATGAAGTTTGTTGAAATCTACGAGATGTACACTTCCATGTATGGGCCGTTGACCAATCCACAGGATGTGTGTGGAAGGTCTGTGCTTCGAGATGTTTATTTGCAAGAATGGCGATTCAGCCTGCGGATCCGCAAAACATCCCAGCACACACAGTGCAAAGATTGTCGCCTGGCAAGTACTTTTGGAATATTGAATACTGTACATGATCCATGGTCGTTGTGGTGTCCAACCTGGGCAACTCTTGTTTCTTTGGTGTGTGATTGTGTCAGTTCATCCCAAGAACCAATCCTCTGAGACACTGTCTGAGGTGTCCGATTTTCAAGGCAGCGACGGGCGCACGATCTGACCGAGTCGCAGAAGCAAGAGATCACGCAGGCCGCGAACCTGCACAAGCACGGCGTCTTTCAGGACCGTGGTGTTGGCCGCAAGCTCATGTTCCTTTCGGAATCTGCCACAACCCAGGGCACACATGTGGCGCCAGAACTGGGAACGCTCTATATTTGCTTAGATGGAATGGACCAAGTATCCAGGCAAGATTAAGTTTTAAATCTATTTCACTCGCGCAGAGGTAAACCCCTACTGATGTGAGATTTGGGCTGGGGAACAGGCTGCTTGTTCCTGACCCTTTCCTCCCCTTGTTCACCCTACCATCTAGGGTGTGACAACTTGTGGCCAAGGTTTCCCACCAATAAAGATGGCTTCTTGATTTACATATGACAAAGGTTTTCTGGCCAAGCCTTCTTTGGTTCTGAGTGTGTAAGACTCTTCTGGGTCTAGACTTTGTTCCGGGACCATATCCCTAGACTGACTGCAGTTGATGTTTGTTCAGAGCCAGACCTTTGCTAAAGGCAAAGTTTCGATGCCCGAGATCAACAGAGATGTTCTCATCCAAGCAGTTCGAGAAGGCCTGGAGGCCTAGCCTCCACTGTGTTCTCGTGCTAGTTCACGGTGTCGCAGAGTGCTATTATGTGATGGACCACGATTGCAAAAAGAACTCGGACATGAACCTGACAGCTATATGTCGCAGCTTAGACCATGTCAAGTCTGTGCTGGACGAGAGGGGGACACCAATGCCTGCACACGTATGTGTGCAGGCGGACAACACAACGAGAGAACAGCGCAACCAATTCAGCTTCATGTTCTTGAGCTGGGCGATTGGGAAAGGCATATGGCGATCAGGAAGCTCCATGTTTTACTTGCCAGGACATTCACACAATGAATGCGATCAAAGATTTGTACCCCTGGCTGCGGCCCTCATTCATAGTGACGAACTACAAACACCTGACGACCCTAAGTTTGGTGATTCTGCTGTGAACTTTTTGACCTTTGAAGGGTCCTTATGATTTGTTATAAGTTGATTGCGGTGCATTTTTTGCATGAAATTGGTCCAGAGTGGATTCCATTTCTGACCTGTGAGGATTTTGTCCAATGCATCAAAGAGACTCTCAAACCAGCGCGGGGCCGCGAGCTCTTTGCTGAAAAGCTGGAGGGTCTGTGGGATTGGCAGAAATTTATGGAGCCAATGGAACGGGTCATGAGTGGAGTGGCCATCTTGAAGAGCCAGCCTGATGTGAACTATGCTTTCCGCATAGTAACGCGAAAAGATATGAAGCTTTACTCTGGCTATGAGAAGTGGGTCGACATGGCAGACGAAGAACATGAGGTGTGAGGTGAAAAATACAATTCAATAGGTGCCAACGGTCAGTGAACACATGTGAAAACTGTTGTGGCATAGATTTGTACAAAGTGTTTGGGATTCCACCACTCAAGCTCCACAAAACCTCCCACAAGTGAAGTCTTCCATTGAGTGTTGGCAGGCCCTGGACCAATGCCCAGAGGGGCCAGCAGATGGGGATGTCTTTCTGCTATGCAAGCAGTTCATGCATTCCACGTCGCTGTCACAGAAGCCAGTCTTGCTTATGCCGGTCAGCCGGCTTTCTAGAGTCCACCCAGCAGGGCCAACCCAAGTCGTTGCCAGGAACGATTTGGGGGATCGCGCAATCCGTGAATTCAGGAAGACAGCGCTTGCCGTCTCAGAAGCCCCATGGGGGATGGTCCGTGCCCGGGCGTACCTTGAGCATTTGTGTCAGGAGAATGAGTCACAGAGGTTGCCTTGCCCGCCACCATTGGTTTTCATCAACACAACTGCTGAGGAACTTGTTCAGTTGATTGACCAACGTGAGCAGCAAGGTCTACCAGTAGAGTTGACTGATTTTGCTCCAGGCACTCCGCGCAGGGTTGTTGTCACTGATGCTGCCCCAAAAGATCCGCCTGGTCGTGGTCGGGGGCGTGGGCATGGCCGTGCCAGGGGTCGTGCTAGGGGTCGTGGGCGTGGGAGAGGAAGGCATAGCGCTTCAGATGGAGCTGAAGGAGATAATGGAGAGGACGGCGATGGTGGCGGCCATGGTGGCGGCCAGGGTGGGAGGGGTGATGATCAGGATGATGCGGATGGTGACCATGAAGATGGTGACTCCGGACCACCCAGCCCAGGTATGCCAGGTCCAGCAGTTCCAGCGCACCGAGCAAAACGGAAGCGACCTCCCACTCCAGAACCCAAGTTTAAGTTTGTTGAATTGTTGTGTTAGACTCAGAAGTCTTTCTTTCCACTGGTTCAAAACTCTTCTAAGGGCTTTAAGGTTTAATTTTCCATCATTTTCCAAGTCGCCAACCTAAGGAACGTCCAGCACGAGAACCGGTGGTTCTCAGGAAGCCTGCCAGCGCACAGCCGGCCAAGAAGAAGGCGCAGCCAAAGAACCAGAGAGGTCCTGGAGCTGTCCTTCCAGGGACCCAATATCGTGAGGCAACAGTCCGCAGCCAGACTAAGCTTGGGTGCTCCAAGTGTCGAGGCCAGTCGATTGGGTGCAAGAGGTGCATCCCCATCTATGAGCTGTGGAAGGAACGGTTTGGCCCTGATAGTGCGCGAGACGCCTGACCAAGGCACCTGCCTTTCCAACCTGCAATAAAGCCTGCACAGCTACACGCCAGTTTGTTGAACTTTCAGGTGTAGACTAACACTGAACAGCTGTTATATTCGTTTGCCTTGTCATTGGTTGTAGTAATAACAACAACTATCAACATGTGATGTGCCTCTTGGGTTGTGCAGCTGCTGGATTTTTGTCATGGCCGCCCCACTGCGGAAAGCGTGGCCATGGTGTCAAAACGAGTTTCTCTTTGAGGGGAGTTTGAAGGTTCACATGTCACATGTCACCCTGGCAGGGAAACATTTTTTTGCTCACACAGGTTGCCCAGATTCTTGCAATTGCCATGACCTCAACAGAATCAATCTTTGTTCAAGCTTATGTAGTTCACCACTTTCTTCAAGCTTTGAGGTTTGTGTTTTGGGCACCGTGATGCACCGTGCATTGCTGCAAGCCAACAAATGTGATGGTGTTCTTTTGCCTTGTGCTTTGGAAAGTCCTGCTGATGCAACGCCCGCCGCTCAGGTTGGACCTCTTCAATCCATTGCTTTGTCACCGGCAGTGTTCCCAGTGACTGACAGCCGCGGTGGGGAGTGAACTGGGCAGAGTTGTCTAAATTTAGGATTTTATTGTTCTGTTTCTTGCCATCCACTGGATGTCTCACCATCATATTGCCATGAAGTTCAAGAAGTGGTTGTGGGACAGCCGGGAAGTCAGAGCCATGCAGAGAGGCTTCTCACACGTTAGCTTGCCGTCTCCTTGTGGCAGTGATGATGTATTGTTTGAAAACCACTGCCCTAAAGCGAGCC